AGAGATTTGGAGCCCATAAGCACAGAGGAGGAATTGAATCCATGGTAATAGATGAAGTTGACTCGTGAGAAGCTTCAGAGTTAGAATAGAAGAGTGCTTGGACTGTATCCCTGAGGAACTCAGGATGAGGAGGAGCTCACAAGCAGAGTGTGGTAGACCTGAGGGAGGGAAACCTGAAGAACCTGGGTCACGGGAGCCATGGGAAGAGCAAGCTCCAAGAAAGAAGCAGTCTTCAATATGGTGGCTTTGAACAGGTCTGCAGTACAAAGGTCCTCCTGACTGGTGCATCTAACTAATAAATATTTAGGTTTTATTTTCTCATACTTTTGTATTCAAGGAGTTATACTGAGGAGAGATTGTTGCTTAAAACTGGATCATGGTTCCAACAGCACGTTGGACTATGGGACTGTTGAAATGGTAGTCCAGAGGAATGAACCAGATCGAAGTGAGAATGCCCCAAAGAATAGCAACCAGTAGGGGATGGAAAGAATGTGATAAATCTGAAACACATGGGGTGTGTTGTATGTCACGAGTATGTTGGGCATGGGCTGGAGTAAGAACTGCTGTCCATATTTTAGTTATTAGCCCTAGAGTTCCAAACCTCCCAAGTCCCAAGTTTGCTACATTTAGATGGGCAATTGGGGTGGAGGAGGAGAAAAAGAGTTGAAATTGGTAAAGAAGGGTCAGAGAAGAAGATGAGGAAAGTAGGCCCTTTAGGTTCAACACTCGGGAGCTGTTCACAATTAGCAGAACCCTAACAGGCATAAATGATGTTTGCATATCTCTATTGTCATTGAAGACATTCATTGGATTAATATGGAAATTAAATTTCTGATTTATCTCTGGTTCATGTCATTATAGATTCAGGTTGTTAAAGAACGAGCACATACTTTATGAGTAATATTCTTCCAGGAATGCTGTAGCTTGAGACAGCGCTTTTGAAATCTGTATTGTATCTTTCGGGACAGTATGTATTTGAGGGCAGCCAAAGATTTCTGGCATAACTGCAGAACTTATGAGGTTTAAATCTATATTTTATAAACAATTGGACACTTAGCAAGCACTGGAATAAAATGATGGCATACCTGTCTTTGCTCAGTAGAGGTCATTCTGATCAACAGAAGTCACATTTAACGTAAGTGGAGGAGATGCAGAGGGCTCCTTTGTTAGCATATTTCATATGTAAGTTGACACCGTTGGAAGCGTCAAGAAAAGGCCTCTTTTTAAAAGAGAATTAATCCAACCCAAGGTATGAATAGAGCATCACTTCAAAAGTGAATCTCCACATGAATCATCTGTGATTCATTCTTTCCCTGCATTTTAACATTGTACACCTTAGTTTATCTGTCCATTTATTTAGCAAATATGTACACACATGCCAAACACTATTGTGGTGGTGAACAGCTCAGAAATGACATCTGCCCTCAAAGAGTTCACAGACTAAACAGAAAAAGAACAAGCATGAGCATTTACAAGGTACTGTGTTCAGGTAAGCCCGCAAGTGCCGTGGGATTCTGAACCAGACTTGGGCAAAGTCGAGCCTGAGACCAAAAAGGCCAAATGAGAAGGGGGGCAAGACGTTTGTCCTTACTTTATTTATTGCTCTCCCCAACATAGATTGCCCCTGAAGAGTAAGCCACTTTCTCCCTTTTAAACCACAGCCTAAATTTGATCAAGATTTCCACAGGTTGATATTGACAAAAACACCACTAAATATTAAGAATGAATAGAGAGGGAAAAAAATACAGAATATACAAACAGCACAGAAATAGTCAAATTTCCAAAGTGTAAGGTTTTGATCCTTAAGATAACTATACATTGAGTCCAAAGAAGTAGTTAGTACATCTTTGCTTACATCTAGCCTCGAGTTCTGCTCTCCTCGACTTCTTGGGAAGGGACATTTGTTTCTATCAGTGGGGAAGCAAAGTTTTAGGTAATTGTCCATTTCCCAGGAAAAATTAAAAAAAAAATACTTCACATAAATATCTTTCATTCTTAATCTCATTCCTGGCAAATGAGGGAATTTTTTCCCCACATCTAACTGACATGTCTAAGATACCCAGCAAAATGAATTGGCTCTTGCTCATAGCACAAAAGGTTATGATTTTACCAGTATTGCTTTCATGATATAACACTGTGTGTAATACAGACACATATACAATAAGAAAGGATACTAAAACTTACAGAAAATTTTCATCCTTAAGCAATTGACCTATACAGCAACATTTGTCCAATTACATCCTCAAATCACTGCCCTGTTAAGCTGAGAGAAAAATTAAAGCAGTTTCTTAAACGTTACTGAATTGTTCCCTCCAAAGGTTTTCAGTCTGTATGAATCTGTTTTAAGAAACAGGGACATATTTCTTCCTTTTATGCTTCTCTTTGTTTCACTTCTTTGTGGTTTTTTCTCTTAAAAATAGTAAGAATAATAATTCTCTGTTCTTTCTGTTCTTTTTTCCTCTCTTTATCTTCTCTTCCTTACCTTTGAGGAGGCAGAAAACAGCAAGACCCTGTGGAGCTAACGAGGTAGTGAGGGTGAAGGAGGCTGGCTGGGGTTGGCAGGACCTGGGTCCACGGGTCAAGGAGGGGGTCAAGACCAAAGCGGCCAGTGGGGCCTTCCTGCATGAAGCCAGAGCCAGGAAGGCATCTGGGGTTAATGGGGCTCAGGCTGGAGGTGACCAGCAGAATTAAGATATTAGTTACATACAGGGAGACTCTTCAGAAGAAATATATGTTAAAGATAATGAGAGACAAGCTTGTCACTGTCTGAGAAAGTGTTACATCGATCAAAAAGGTGAAAGCTAGAGTGAACCCTGTGGTAGTGAATTGGAATTATAGATGCCAGTGGAATTCATGTTTTAAATATAGATAGATAAATGATACACAGAGAGGAGTGCCTGGGTGGCTCAGTTGGTTAAGCTTCTGACTCTTGATTTTGGCTCAGGCCATGATCTCATGGTCTGATACCAAGCCCATGTTGCACTCTGCGCTGGGCATGGAGCCTGCTTAAAATTCTTTCTCTCTGTCTCACTCTGCCCCTCCTACCCCACTGCTCTTGCTCTCTTTTTCTCTCTCTAAAAGAAAAAAAAAGATGCACAGATAGTTGATAAACAGATATGTTATATATAATAATATATTGTATATATGCCATGATATATAATATATGACATATTATATATATCAGTGACATATATATAATATGTATATATGTATTAGTTATGGATGTGTGTGTATGTATGTATGCAATTCCTAACTCTGTCTCCTAAGAGGGCCTAGAAATAGTGATACCCAGGAAACAATGAGAACACCCAGGTGCCCAGACCCTCGGTTTCTAAAAGCCGTTCCTCAGCAAAGAAATGATTCTAGGGGAAAGAAGAAAGAAAGAAAGAGAGAGAGAAAGAGAGAGAGGAAGGAAGGAAGGAAGGAAGGAAGGAAGGAAGGAAGGAAGGAAGGAAGGAAGGAAAGAAGGAAGGAAGGAAGGACGGACGGAAGGAAGGAAGGAAGGAAGGCCTTAATCAAGGACTGGAATAGGAAATTACAGATGAGTCGGCAATGCCTCGTGCCAGAAAGTAAGAAAGCACCCAAATCATGAGGGAGACTTGCCAAAAGGATGCATGGCCTAACTTCTAGGGGCTGACCCAGTCTGTATAGTGTGGGCATCAAAATAGTGATGTTAATGCATTATAACCCATTAAACAAAATCATTATTATTATAAATGAATGTGGGAGACAGAAACTTCCCTTACTATAGAATGCTAACTAATACATGTAGATGAAATTAGAAAACCCACATTTGGAAATCATAACTGTAATAATTGATTCAGACAAAAGTCATCAGTGTCTAACGGATGAAAGTTTAAAGAGTAAGAAGATATTATGTAGTTTCAAATATCTCCACACAAGGGAAATTTATATCTTTATAGTAGAGAAACCTGGTAGACAGGACCTTAACCAACTGATCAACGTTCAGTGCCTTCTGGTATGGTACACTGTGAAGAACGGGATGTCACTGTTCCTATTAAAATCCCATAATCTGAGTTTAAAATGAGGAAACATCAGATAAACCAAAAAAGGGAGACACTCAGAAAATATCTGGTCTACATTCATCGAAAATATCAAGGTCACAGAAGGCGAGAAAAAACTGACCAAAATATTCCACACTGAAGACTAAAGAGATATGATGCAACACACAATTCTAGATTAAATCCTGGACCTGGTTCAAAAACTGTTTTTCTGTTAAAAAGGCCATCACTTGGGACAGTTGCTGAAATGAGAATGGGCTTTTAGGATTAGATGGTAGTATTTTATTAACATCAATCTCATTTTATTGGTCGTACTAGAGTTATGTAGGAGGAGATTGTCATTTTCTTTTAGAAAATACACATAAGTATTTCAGGGTAACAGGCCAGCATGTCTGCAAATTATACTCAAATAGTTCAAGGGGAAAACATAAATGATAGAGATAGAGACAAATATAACATTTGGTCAAATATTAACAACTGGAGAACTTGGGAGGGTTTTTTTGGTTTGTTTTTATTTATTTTTTTTATTTTTTTTACTGTTCTTGCCACATGTTTGTTAATGTTAAAATTATTTCAAAATAAAAACATTTAGTGAAGCAAATATGGAACTAAAAGGTAAGTGGCATTATCTATATTTCAATGTTACTTCATACTTTTTCAAGCATTATCCTATCCTACACTGAAGGTAAAATTACACTTAACTTATTTTTTCTTCATCATGTGTTTGGTCTTGTGTTTCCCTGGACAACAAATTTAACAAAACATACACAGTTTGTAATGTATGACTAATATACAAACTTGCAAAAATTAATTATTAAAAAATAAAAAAAATGTTTATTAAGTTAAAAAAAGTCTTGGTCTTATTGCTTTCTTTTTCCAGCTGATATAAATGGTACAATTTAGCATCAGACATTCAGTTTTGTTCTTGATGGACACAACAATATAACTCAATTTGCTCACTCTTTCTCTCTTTGCTAGGTTTCTTATGTCAAAGCTATTGACATTTGGATGGCAGTATGCCTCCTTTTTGTGTTTTCAGCACTTCTGGAATATGCAGCTGTAAATTTTGTATCAAGACAACACAAAGAACTTCTGAGATTTCGACGAAAGAGAAAGAATAAGGTAGGCGATTAAATGCATCGGGTTCGGCAGGATACCAATTTTCACTGGAAAGTAAATTTGTTATATGTAATAGAGTGGTGCAGAGAGGAAGTGGAGTCTGAGAACCAAAAGATACAACTATTCCTTTGGTTTTGTCCAATCGAAACTGAAATTGTCAAAAATAGCTTCAGGGATAAAATGGTGACATCCAGTTCTACTTTATACAGCGTATCTATCAACATGAGAGCTTTATCAATCTCTAATGTACTTCCTGGAACAACACCATTTTTTGCTTCAATTAACAAAATACATCCTTTCTTACTTGCAATGTGAGAGTGTTCCTGATGGTCTTACTTAACACGTCATTGGATGTAGCTATTAAAGTTGTTCCTTTTATCAAAGTAATTCCTTTCATTGTTTCCATAAAATATTACCTATTGTTAATGCTATGATGTTCATGTAGAACTATGTGGTCTCTTGCTCATGCATACTTTCATGTTTTTAAGATATTTATTCTGAATCTCTACGGGAAACACAAGAAGGTGTTATTATTGCCTTGCTGTGCCTGTTAAATGAAACCCAGAAGTTGTACTGAGAACATCATTAGGAGGCCACAGGAAGTTGCAGAATTAATCTCATAACTGAATTTGGATGTACAGAATGGAGTTGTTCCCCTCTATTAAGACTTGTAATGTTGTCTTTATATGCACATAAGCTCGATCAACGCCCTTTCCTCTTCTGGAAGGGAGAGTTTCTATTGACCAGCATATCTATCAGTTTACTTCTTTTAATGTGAATGTGCCGACTGACATTTAAAAGCAAATGGACTCATATGCAATAGAGAAATGTCAAAGTTTATGTAACAGGAGAAATTGTGGCCAGAATCCAATGTATTGGAATATTTAAGTCAAAACATACTCAAATCTTAGAAATAATAGTCTGGTTCATATAGGATACCTTTGTAAGGATTTTGAAAGGATTTAATTTTTTTTTGAGGTTTCCTTGTGGTTTCTGAATTATTCACTGTAATTTACATATTCATAAAACTTTTTAAAGCCCTAAGCCCATGATCTCTCAGTACTGAGCATTAAACATATTCTAAAGTAATAACGAATTCAGTCATGTCTAATTAACTCCCCCAAATCATAATAAATATCCAATTCACAGTAGCATGGAAGGAACATCGAGGACGGTGATACTCTGAGTAATACATGGGACAAAAACAGTGCCTGAGTTTTTATTTGATCAAGTTGTTATGAAAATAAAGGCACATCATTTGTATATTGAAACATTTTAATAGGGAGATTTACTTTTCTCTATCTCTTTCTCCCCACTACACCCCCATCTACTGGTTTCCTTATACTTTTCTCCTTCTTTTTCTCGCTCTTTATTCCCCTTTTTTCTCCCTCCTTACTGTCTACCTGCTCCTCTTTCTTTTCATGACACTTGGCACTGGCTGAAACACTATCGTAGGACAAAAAGTTCTATATCACAAGGGTAAAGCTCCTGTTTTCCTTTCCCTTAAATGACTGATAAAGACAACTTTTCCTTCTAATGTCATTAATCTGAAGTAAAGTAATACTTATTTCCCCTTCTCATTTTGGTTTGCTTTATCACTTTTATTTTCCATTTCTCTACCTTTCTCCTCCTTCCTATACAATTTAGAATGTATCAACCAGGTGCTGGGAAGTATTAGGTATGTGATGTCCAAATGGGGGTAGAGAGCTCACTTTCCACACCCACCACACTTCCAACAACAGACACAGTGTCCAATGGGTAACATAATAGACTGTAAGTGTAGATGCTCAATTTTGGTTCTCCTTTTAAAAAAAATTATCCTACCAAAGCAGCTTTTGAGTTTCACTACTGGTAAGAATATCAGGATACATAGTGAAGCCCATTATTCTTTAGCTCACAGAAAGATGACAAGATTAATTTTTCTAGTGAGTGGCTCTCTAGGGAAATATAGAAATGCAAAAAGAGTAATATCTTATTATTTTCCAATGACCAGTTGAAATATTCAAGGAGCAAATATTGTAATTGAGATTTAGTGCAGGAAAATATAGTGTTTTTGTTTTGCTTTGTTCTTAGCTCATTTCATACTTTGGGGGTTGGATACCTTGCATATGTGAAAATCGATTAATTGATACATATGTATGTGAAAATGATATATGCAATTAAAACCAATTGTGCAATTATATTTACTCATATATGACTTGATTCTCTGGTTTCTCAATCCCTCTTGGTCCACCTTACCTTCCCACAGACAGAAGCTTTTGCATTGGAGAAGTTTTACCGTTTCTCAGACACGGTAAATTCACTTTCTTAACTCTAAGTAGAGGAATGTGGTCATCAGTGAAAAAAGCAGAGAGCATATTCTGCACCCAGGCAGTGTTTGGTGGGGAAACACAGCCCCTTGCATATTCAAAGCCAAACAATCACCATCCCCCTTCAGCTAAGGATATTCTCTTTTTCAAACTCCGTTTGTCTTCTCTCACTCAGTAAAAAGATAGTTAAATATTATCCTTTATCTAATCAGCTGAGTTATTTGATTGGTCAAAATGATCTTTAAATATATATAAACAAAAATAACGCATATAATCGTATAATAGTCTCCATGAAAGAAACAGTCATTTGTTTTGACAAAATTAGTTCCAAAAATTAATAAAAAATTTATTTGTACAAAGAAGTTCTAAATGCAGCCTTTCTTGTCAGAAAATAGAGACCTAAAAATAAGGCAAAAATAAAATACTTTGTCCAACCTATGTATTTTTAGAATCCCTTCTTAATGTTAAGAGAAGTTGAGATTCTTTATAATAAATTAACAATTTTGGGTTTTGATAGCAGCATCCTTTGAAATGTTCGATTAAAAAGAGATCACAAAGTAGTCTATACTAGAGCGTATTAGTCGTCAGAATTGGCCACCATAATCTAGCATTTGATGATTGCCTTTAAACATACTCAAGCGAAGAATTGGGGCTGGGAAATCAGAAACAGTCCAGTCTTTTAAACTAAATTTCTGGAAAAAAGGGCATTTAAAAATACCTCCTCAGATGATTCTGCTGCACATCTTGCTTAAGAATAGATATAACCTTAGATGAACAGACCAAAAACATTACATTCATCTAATTGAAGGATTCTCAATTTCATAGCAGGTATCTAGAGCCAGTATTATTTTAAAGCACTAGGTTTTCTTATAATACGTAATCATTCAACTAATTTTTCTTCTAAAATTGCATATTTGTTCCCAACATAGCTAGCTACTTTATTTTTTCATCCCTGGGGGAAAAAAAATCACTTGATCCAATTACTTTTACTTAATTATCTTAACTGCAAATTCTAAAAAATTTTAATTGCTTTGTATTTGCATAACACAAATAGCTGCTTTGGGAGAGAATATATTTAAATTTCTAGTAAATAAGTAGTTAATGCCTATAGGAGCTTTAGTATAAAAAATATATATTTAGTTAAGTATTGCCTTACAAAACAATGCACAAAGAAGTCTGATGAAAACTTAGGTTGGGCGCCTGGGTGGCTCACTTGGTTAAGCGACTGCCTTCGGCTCAGGTCATGATCCCGGAGTCCTGGGATCGAGTCCCACATCAGGCTCCCGGCTCAGCGGGGAGCCTGCTTCTCCCTCTGACCTTCTCCCCTCTCATGCTGTTTCTCTCTCTCTCAAATAAATAAATAAAAAATCTTTAAAAAAAAAAAAGAAAACTTAGGTTTACCTCAGCAACAATCAATCAATACTTGCTTTTTAAAAAGAAACAATATGGTAATGCAAATACATTCATTAGAAATTTATGCATTCCATTTATTTTGTAATATTCCAGTCATTATGCAAATTTGGGGTTGATCATTTTGCCTTTTTGAAAACTATTTTTCTCAACCTAACAACCCTCTGGGCCGACTGAATTCATCATTTTTTTTTTAAAAAAATTATGTATTTTGCTTAGAAACAGTCTGAGCAATCTAAATCTTTAAATCAACATAATCCGAGTCTAAATGTTGGCCCAAAGCCCTTTATCTTCATGAGTACGGGTTTACATAGTTTTTCCAAGCACTCTAAGTTGGCAGAATAGGCAAAGTAAATAAAATAGCCTCAGTATAAAAAGTTTGTTAAAACAGGGAACCTTCCATTATTCCTAGGAAAGTTTTCACTTGGCTCAGCATTGGCTTAGCATTGTATGGAATCTCTTATATCTGACCTTTTCTCTATTAAGGTACAAGCGGGTGACTCTTTGGTCTATTGTGAAAGAATACAAGTTTGCTCTTGTATCCAAATTTCCCCACCCCACACTGTCATAGCCTGCTGTGTGCTGATTACCCACCGCACCATGTCATAGATGCTTATCCCCAGTGTTGTGTATGTATGGGTGTATGCATGATATGGAAGTATTTTGGTCAGAAGTTGCTCTTCCCACGTGTGATATCATTACTTTAGTTCTGCGGGGTTATAAAGATGTGCCAAAATGTTTCTGAATATGTTATTTGTTGAGAGAAATGGCTGATACGGGGTTGCATTTCACCTAGCTTCTTCCACCTCACGGTGTAATGACGCAATGGTTTGCAGAGAAAACATTCACACGGTATTCTAGCGCCTTTATCTTCCTGCTTGTTATTGTATAGTCATTATTATTTACATACTCAGATGAAATAAAGATGGACCATTAGTTCTAGATTGGAGAAACAACGGTCAAGTTTAGATTCTGCGAGGCACGATGGTTATCTTTTTAAGATTAAGATATCATTGACTGCATTTTGACTATCTGTACAAAACTTGTCTTTTTATTGACTTACATGTTTACATGCTGTCTTACTTTAAAAATAACTCAAGGTAACTTCTAAGAATAACAAATGATTGTTTTTTCTGCCCTCTACAGTTTTTCAGCTCTATAGTCTATATATACAAATATATGTGTATACTATTTTGAAGGGATGAGGCTCTACAGACAGTTGAAGGCAATGTGGCACCCATATATACTAAATTATTTAATAAAGTTTCCATTCTAGGTCAGTTTATGCTATATTCTGGCATATAAGATATTCTTTCAGTAGGAAAACATTTCTTGCAAATTTCCTACATTTCTGGGAAAAGTAGTTTCAATAATTTCAAACTAAAGTATATATGAGTGACTCTGATATACAGGGGTTTGAAATTTCATCCTCTCAAGTAAAACAAAAATTGTAAGAATTTGATGATTTCCTGCAAACAAATATTTAGAGTTTTTGTTAAACACAGCTAATCCTTAGAGCTACATCCCCTCTGAAATATCAGTTTAAGAAAATAGTATTCAACAAACTAATACAATTTCTACTTAATCTAATTTCACATGCATTATAGTGAATTACATCTCAAAGTTAACTAAAATGTATATAGTGCTTTTTACACATGTTGACTATTTTTAATGTATTATTTTATGTCACTCCATAATTCTGAGTTGGCACTGAATGAATCTAACATATTGTGCTAGGAATAGATATATGGGTATTTAAAACATTATTTTACTGATTTCTCATCAATCTCCTAAAATGTATGTATTCCATTTTTATATTATTTTATTTTAAGTATTCATATTTTCAAGCTTACATTTTACCATTTAATAATTTCCAAGTCTAAATTCAATACGCCAAACATAAACTTGGCTAATTCATAACTAATTCATGTGTCATCAAGAATAAATGCAAAAGTCTCCTGGGAACTAGATTTCAAAGAATTTTATATTGACAATTGACCTGCAACTAGAAAGTATCTTGAACCTCATCCATAACTGTTTTCTTTTAAGCTTTCCAAATTTCAAAACAATATAAAAATGCATATAGATGTATTAAACTGAATATTTTATTTTAAGCTGGCACTTATTTTGGAAAAATAATTTTTAATTTATTCACGTTTCATCTTACCTCAGAATTTTCTAAGTGATGGCTATTTTCCCAACAAAAATAAGCCACTGCTGTTTATTAGTAATTTTTTTTTTCAAAATCCACACACTTTGAAATCATGTAAGTGAAAATTAATAGCAATTCACTTTTCCTTCCTTTGTCACTTTCCTATTTGGCAATTAGAAGTTACAGAAAATTATTTTAACAGAAAGACCTCAGGCATAATTACTAAACATCTTGAGTGTATATGGAACACCCAAAGGCACCTACCAGGGGAGAAACATTAGGATGAAAATAATGTATTTAATGCTGTTGTATCTCACAGCAGTTCACACAATAAATCATCACTCATGCCATCTTAGAGACTCCATGTTTTATTACCACTCACCAGTAAGCTTCATGTCTTCAACCCAAAAATAAGATTTTTTTTTTTTGGTCATTTTTGAGGACTAAGAAGAGTATAGGAAATTAATTCTTTTCTCACATGTATGTTAATATATATTTTTTGTGATGGAGATGAAGCAATTCAACTGAATGACTAAGTCTACCCTTGGATTTTCTATTTTTAATATTTCTAGTTATAATATGCATGTTAGTGTGAGTCAGCCTTTGGCCTAATTCTCTAATAAAATAAAAAAGCATATAGAATGTTTCACAATGTGGTATTGATGCTTAATTACTGAAACATTTTTCTCACTCTCAGACTTAGTGAAAACAGGTCCTCCTTACAGAAAGAATTATGTACTAACTAAATGAGTTTTTACATTTTTCATTGCCTACCCTTCTAACTTGCTTAAAGCATTTGGGAGGTTTTACTTGTGAATAAATTAAGCCATTTCTTCAATTTTACCTTTTTAATCAGTCATGTTCTTTTGCTCATTTTTAGTTCATTCTATTTAATCTTTATTATTGCCATATTTTGAGTTGGAAAGTGCTTAATTTTATGAATATTAATTACTGGCTAACACATAGCATCAGAGTCAAAAGTTTTAGATGTTTGTCTAAACCCTTTGCTTGCTTGGCCTTCAGTCTCTTAGAAACTGAAGCTTAAGATGACTGTAGAAAACAGAATTATCCCCAAGAAATATTTGAGTACTAATTGGAATAAAGAATATCAGTGCACATCTAAACATACATAAACACAGGGTGATTTTATGACTGAGTCTTACAAAAAAAGAAATTACTTTGGGTCATAAAATAGTTTGATGCACCTTCTAATATAGTAATCTAATACTAATAGTGAACTATTGAAATGTTTCATCCATGCTTAAAATTATTATTTTAAGTGCAGCCTTTGAGAAAAAAAAAAAAAAAACTGCTATAGGCCAGTCATTTAACAACACAACAACAACAAAATCACATGACTTTTTTGCAGTCCAAGTGTCCTTGCTCTCTCCCTCATTCTCCGGCCTCCTGGCCTGTTGGGCC